TCAATGTGAATTGAGATCTATTATTCTAAAACTCTTGAAAGATGAAACTTTTGTCCTTATTGCCTTATGCTATTTCTGGTTACTGAATAGTAACATGAAAGCTTCTTGACATAGGGCATATTTTTAGGTATTTTTGTTGGTGATGGTATCTTGCTAGTTTTCTTTAGAAATAGTGTAATTGTAACTGACTGATTAGCTAGATATGAAATCAATGATGCGTGATACAGGTATAGGAAAGGGAAAAGAGGAGCATGCATGAATGAGAAGTTGGTGATAGTAGGTGAATCAGCAGTTTATATATTAGTTATGAATGCTCACCACTATGTTCAAGGAGCATGCCTGTTTTTATTTTATGATTGTCAGAATTTCAGTTTTATAATGTATTTATCTTCAGCTGAAACGTCCTAAATTGTATCTCTGTAATGAATCTGTATCTCTTGTGTTAATCAAGACTTCACATCAACATGTCTTTAGAAAAGTGAAACGGAAAGAAGCTGTTAGAATTCACCTCTTCTAAACACAGGATGCATATGTTCCCACATATTAAAAAAAAAATCCAAACCCCAAATCAACAACAAAAAAATCCCCTACTCAACTATCATGATGTTTTAATTGTTGAAACAGTTGGGGTCAAAAAGCTGAGGTCTGTGGAGGAAATCAGGTGTGAGTGTGTACGATGGTGTCTTCTATTGCTGTTCGTGGCACAGACTGTCCCTCATCTAGTGAGAAAATACTAGTATAAGTACTAGGTGAAAAGAATAGCCATAATCAGTCTGGTTTCTTTTTCTGAAGGATCTAGCAAGGACCTTTCTGAAGGACCTTGAGGGAAATGAAATTGTCAGAGAACTTAGGTGAATAACTCCTAACTTTTATTTTGAGCTTACTAATGACAAATTTTAAGCTAGCACATGGCAGCTGACTAACTTTCTAAGGGTAGATTCTACAAAAGAGTAGATTTTAGTTGGGAGGAAAGGGCTGACATTCAATGTTTTGGGACTTTTTAGTTCTTATTAAACAAAACTTAACCCATGAGCACGTTTAAGCTATCTCTAGACTAAAATAAATTTTTCTGCTGGACTCTCTTATCTTAAGTAAAATCATGTGTTGTGTGGTAGTGTTGCTATTTGTTACTTTTTTTTTTCTAATATGAGCAGATTAAAACTACTGCATTTTCCAGGCTAAAATCTATTTAAATACCATTAATTGTCCACTATTATAAAGAAAGATAGTAAAGAAGATAATTCTTTGCCACTGGAAGTCCATGCTTGCTAGAAGAAACTGTGTTACTTTCTGTGTGAATGTGGTGCATTGCACAGGAGTTACTCAGGCATGCTCAGAGGGACCCTGTCAGTGAAACTTCCTGGCAGCATTTTAGCTTTTATGCTGCTGTATGACTTGGCAGCAAGGCTTCATCCCGTGGGAAGGGTGCTTTACTTAGTTCAGCCCTGGCTGTAGCAATGACCCAACAGACTGTATGTGTCCCCAAAGTTTTACTACCAGTCTTGAATGCATCAGAACATAGGTGGTATTTCTAACTGAAGAAGAGGGGGAAAGACTCTGTGGCCTTCTAGATGAAAATAAAATACTCTTCAAGTTGTTTCAATTCCTTTACTGTATGTATGCAACAGAAAGAGTTAACACAGCTTGTATCTTTGAGGTGTTTTCATATGCAATACTCTAGTGTTTCTTGTGATTTTTTACTGTTTCTTACAGCCTCCTGCAGGTGAGTGGTAATTCAGCCATTTGGTATACATTCAGATCATGTTTGTGACAGAGCTTACTACTCAGTACTTTTATTGAACAGTTTGTCCTTGCTTTGTTTGAGATATATCGTTCACAATAACAGTAAAAGAGGTGAGGTTCTGCAACAGATGGCACTGTAGGAAAAGGTAACCCTAACAGGAGAAAGTTGTTCCTATAGCAGAATGTCAACTTAAAAATTGAAAGTTGGAATCATCTAGATAGATTCAACTTCTGGTAGGTGCTAGCCACAAGAATGCTTTGCTTTTCAAACTTAATGTTTTTATAGTACAGCTGATGGGTTTTTGTTTGATTGGTTTTTTTGGTTTTTTTTGGTTTTTTTTTTAATAGAATAAGATCTCTTCAGATTTCTGGCACTTATAGTCACCAATATGGGAATTCCCTGTCCTGTATTATTCAGCAAAACAAAGGTTCTGATATTATTCAGCAAGCCAAAGATTCTGTGCAGTCCAAAGACAGGAAATGAGTTCGTGAAGCTTGTGTTTCTGCCCCAGCTTAGAGCTTCAAAACCCGAGATCCTTCTAACCCTGTAGCTAAAGTCAGTGAGCATCTAGGCAGAACCTCATCAGGTGCTCAGCCGTGAATAAGGGTGTTTCAGGTTTGGCAGTGGGCAATAGTTCCACGCCTATGCTCAAGTAAGCTCACTCTGGATCCAGAGATTAAATATTTCCCTCTGTCTCCTCTCAGGGCTTGCAGAACATGGTGTTCTTGGAGCATGTTTACTGAAGACCTATCAGATGGGCTTTGCACAAAACAAACCAGAGCTACCCCTCCCACTCCTGAGTAATAGCTCAGTGGTTAGAGCATTCCCAAAGAGTGAGGGCTCTAGATTCAGCACCTTTTCTCCCTGAGGTGATTCGAAGTCATGCCCCTTACATGCCTGGGCTCCCAAGAGGAAAGAATTGGGCTATCTTTTTCTCTAATTTCTGGGATAGTGAACGCCTTAAGAATTGTATGTAAAGCAGGACTAGCGCAACTGGAAGTGCTGACAGTGTTGCCATCTTAACTTTGTTTAGGGAGGAGAAGGTGAAATCACCTTGAGTTTATTAATGACTTGGACTTGGCCTCTGTCTTAAGTGATCTAACTGCTGAGGTGAGAGCACCAGTCTCTGGGCTTGAGGTTGTGGTCTTGAATAAATGCAGTTGCTTTTGGTGGTGGGCAGAAAGGTCTAGCGCACTGGGAGACTGGACTGAAGATGCACTCCTGTCTTCAGTGCTTCCCATTGGGTAACTTAGGTGAGTTCCAACTTGACTTGCAGGTTTTTTTGAGTGCTGGTTAAGGTGCATTACCCTCTTCTATTTTTGTATGACTGTAATAGATAAAACTTTTGTGTTCCTGGGTAATAGACTGAAGTGTGATCTTTGCTAAGAGATTCGGATGTTGAGGAAATGTTGTCTTAAGCATCATTGGACTTGTCTGTAAAGTGTAAATGTTGACCTTCTACTTAGATACTTCTTCCTTTAAATATTAGTTAGAGACTTCTGTACTAAATAAACTACCTTTGCTATGTTTCTGTGGTGAGAATGCACACAAAACTTCCAGTTTACAAGAATTTGAAAAAGGCAGTTGAAAGTGGAGATGTTTTGTGTGATTTGTTTCTTGCACATGTTTATAGTACACAGTCTATCCTAATGCATAAAGACAGTTATCCTCCCCTCCCCAGTACAGGTAAGCATGTTTTTCTTCAGTGAGGGTCCTTTCTGAAGGCTTGAGAGCTTTCCTCTTCCTAGTAGATCTCCAGACTTCTTCCAGTTCATGTCCCCTCGCACTTGAGGGCACTGTAGGTTCGTTCTTCCTTTATAGCTGAAAGGTGCTACAAGCTCTTGGTGGAGGTCTAAATCAAAACCGTGTGTCTCTTGGTGTTTTTTGTAAGTTTTCTCTTTATTTATCTTCAGTTTTGGAGAAAAATGTTCTCATCTAGAAGTTGCCATCAAAGGAAAAGAAGAACAGTTCTTTAAAATATCAGTGATGTTTGTATGGAACTTCATAGAATAGTTTGGCACCTGGAAAAGAAAAAATTAGTCTCGAGCAGATTTGCAACTTCCTTTCAAATTTAAGTGCAATGAGATGTGAGTGACCTGCACTACAGCAGCTAAGTGGCTGAAACGGGGTTACAGAACCAGCAGAACAGTCTGAAGGAAGAGCAAAACAGTGTCAACAAGTTTTGTACACTGTTCTGAGTTTAATACAGGGTGAAGCTCAAATTCTTCTTGAAGAGAACTGTGTACTCTTGTTGTTACTTAAATTTTCTCATGTCAGGCTTTTTCACTTGACTGTACTATGCAGGAACTAGATCATTAACATTAAAAGAACCTGAAGTTCTTCCAAGTTTATATTCAGGCCAAATGAAGTAAGCCTCTAGCAAACATGCAACTAGATGACATAATAGCATGTATTAAAGGTGCAGAGGCCTTTTTGTTCCCCATCTCCTAATTACATCAAACAATAGGAGATGAAATACATGTCTCTTTAGTGATATTGTGCTTCAGCTCTTTAAAAGAGCTTCATTCAAACTTAGATCTGTGTGCAGTTGAATCTTGCTCATTGTGGATGGCCATGGGCATCCTGAAATGCCAGAGGTTCTATGAACAGTAGCATGAAAATCTGCAACCTGAAGAGCAAGCGAGTGTTTTTCTGCGACTGAACTCACAGGGTAGGCTGTAACACTTCCCTTCATACTCAGGCCTTCTGATTTTAGGGTAACATCACATGATTACATGTGAACTAAATTACCATTAACTTTGGAGTTGCTCATCTGTCAAAACTGATTTGTCTGATTTGCTGTGTAACACAGGTCAAGCAGGGAGTGTACCGTCAGTTGCTGTGGCTGAAGTGACAAGATTTAACTGACAAGATGGTGGTAAATTGATTGTTTGCAGCTGTGGGAGCTTACTCTGGTAGCAGCTCTTATTAATGTTTATTCTTCCTTCTGTGTTAAAGTATGCCTGCATGCTAAGGCATATATTCCAGCATCTTCAAAACTTTTTCTTAAAAGATTTTGGAAAGGAAGGAAATGTAGCAAATGCCAAACATCCAGTGGTGCTGCAGACAATTATTGGTTTAATCTATTGGCAGTAGATTAAAGAAGGTGGCTCATGATGGCCACTTCTTTCCCTGTTTTCCCATAAGACTGGGTTAATATCCCCCCACGTCCCTCAAGCGACATTAATTAGTTATACAATACCTGGGGTGACTGTTTAGTGACCTCCGAGTTGTAAAAGCTTTTATGAACATCAGAAGCCTGGAGTTATAAATATGGAACTTCAAAATGGTGTGAGGTTTTTTGTTTGGTTGGTTGTTGTTTCTGGAATAGATAGCATAGAACTGAAGGTTGGCCCATTGTCAGGTTAGCAGGCTTCCTTTGTGGCGATTCCTTCCCTCTTCTGTGAAGTTTTAATCTTCAAAATATCAAATAGAAAAACGAGCAAGAAAACCAAAGGCAAACAAAACCCCCATAGCTGTCCTTTCAAGATCATTATCAATGTCCTTGAAAAGATGGACAGGTCCGTTCAGCCCTTTACTGTATATAATTACACTTAGTGTGTAGAACCAGGAATGAGGCAGTTTAGGCAAAATGGAATCTGGTAAGGATGACAGTACTTGATTTCTCCCTGTTGGAAATCTGGGAACGTCCCCAGCCTAAACAGTGTACGTTTATTTATCCCACAGTGGCTTGTTCCATGTGGACCTCTTCTAAGTTAGTGGACCCAGTTGTTTGGGGGAACATAAGCTGAAGGAAAAATCAGATACTTAACTCTGGCATTAGGCTTTCATGGAATGAGGAGGAAGAACATTCAGTGTTAGATTGTTGAGACAACTGAGTAGTGAATCATAACCTTAATGCCTATTTTGTTCCAACTGCCAAATAAAATCATATTATTGGAATGAAGTAGCATATATCCTGCTACGGCACAAGAATACTTGGCAGTTAGCAGCCAATCCTTTCACTAAGCTCTATGGCCAGGGACTGTAAGGGAAGAGCAGAACTTGCAAATATTAGGTTGGCAGAGTCTTGAAAATAAAAGCAACATGAATGGTAAAATTCATTCAGTAAATATCTTTATTCCCAGGCTAATACAGATTTTTAACTGTAATGTTTTTGTTCAAATTCTCTATATTCATGTTAACCAAATGTGCAGGGTATTATTGTTGTAGCTTTTTTTACACTTACTCTACACCATCAAACTCATCACTGTTTTTGGTATTAATTTCCTTTGAGGTAGACCATCTCTGGTCTCTGTTTTGCAGATTCTATTTTCTGTCTGAGGTCTCTGGGCATAAATCAAATCCATGTCTGATGACTTGATGACTGCCTTAGTTAGTGTATCCTAAACTGAACTCCTTTCAGGTTTTCCCTTCCCTATTCCGTCATCATCTCATTGCTCTTGCTTCTTCCTTTGCCATCATCGTACTGTTTTCCTACAATATCTCATGGTGTGCCGTGAAATCAACACATTGTTTTTTAAGATCTGGTCAGTTCCACTGGTGCTTACTCCGTGGAGCTGTTGATTTCTGTATTGACTGTACAGACAGGATCTGCCCAACTTTGTGTGCCCGTGAAGCACATACCACAGTGGGACTTCCAGAGTGCACACACTCGCATCGCGCAGGATGCGGGGCTGCAGTAACGCATCCCTCTGACGCACGATGGCATAACAGAAGGTACTGCTGAGGCAGGACATGGGGGTGGGGAGGTGAGGAAATAAAGCAAACAATGTTGAACTGCCTGACATCTTAAATGACAGAAAAACCGTCAGCCTGTGGGAAGTCACGATTTAGTGTTGCAGCTCCTTGACAGGGTATGACAGTTTAGGATCATCTGCATAAATCTGAGGTATTGCTGAAAGCAGGTAAGTGTAGTAGAATGTTTTTTGTTTGGTTGGGTTTTTTTGTTTTGGTATTTTGACAAAGATTTTTTTAAGATACTTGTGCAGAGGCTTTTTGCACTATTTTTCCAGTCCTTACTGATGAACCAAAAAGACCCCCCTTGGTAGGATGATGTAACTGTGTATTCTGCTACCATTAGAGTGTTATTCAAAATGTCTTATTTTAGTCTGTCTGAACACAGAAAATTACATTCCCTGTCTCAAAATTCTTCTTGAAGGTGCTAAGTTTCTCTAACAACCTTAAAACTTATTTAAATATTAAAATCTTCTCTAAAATGAAAGTTATGAAATCATAAACTGTATAAATAGACAGTTCTCTAATAAAATAATTTTGATTTCTTCCTAAGAAATTAACACTGGGATTGTGGTTATTTTGTTGTTCAGTCATTGTATTTGCAAATTTTTACAATGAATATATAAACTTGTCAGCATCAAATTCTACTAATCAAAGATACTGTAGTTAGCCTTTAAGATCATATCTTAATTTCTGAAGCCTTTGCCAGCTTGGTGTCACATTCACATTCAAGTGTCCTGCCGTTGAAAGGTACTTTATCAATTGGTTGGCAGGAGGGACAGAAATATAATCTCTCAAGCATGTGGCATGTGCGTGTTCTCTCTGACTTCCCAAGACTCCTTGCTAAGAGTTCTTCCTCTGGCATTTCTCCCCAGAGTGCACCTTCTGCTGCTTCAGTAATATTGAAATGGGTGTGACAGTTTTGGGAATGACCTGGGAGTATAGCTGAGTTCTGTTCCTCGCCCTGCCACTCTCTGAATTGCTGTGCGTTCTCAGATGAGTTATAGCCCCTTCAGTTTGCCTGTCTGTAAAATGGAAATAATGCTCATGGAACTTTACAGTAATTTTAAGTTATGGGAAGAGCTGCTAGGATGAAGTTACAGAGATATATTTAGTTGAAGTGGCAATACTTCCAGTTAACTTGTATACACTACTACACTTTAGAAAACTTCTGTAGCGTGCCATAGTAATGTGATGAAAATTATATATAGCTGGAATATGGTGGAAATTAACTCACCTAAGAGATGTTGTAATTTCTTTTGAGACTGTGAAAAGGCAACATACAGTGGTGTTACTTGCCATTTCATTTTATTGCTATTTCACTTTTCATGTGCTTTAATTCAGAAGTGGCTAAACTTGCTCAAACTTCCAAAGAAACTGAATTGAAGTCGAGAGAGAGAAATAGAGCAGGACGAATAGGAGGTGAGAGTAACCATGTGCTTGCATTTTCCTTCCTTAGAATCCTAAGACATTTCAGTTTGGGGGTAGGGTAGATATCAAGACACTGAGCTTTTTTTGCTGGCCATTGAAATGTAGTTAGCTTTGAGGAGCAAGGAAGCTGTTTAGCAGAACACAGCAGTGCTGCACAATATATCAGGATATAAAGAACAATGTAGCGAAAGTATAAGGGAAAGCAGGATTTGGCCAAACTGCAATCTGACCAGTCAAGAATGGTTTGATAACCAAAGAAAAAAAACCCCATTGCTTGTCTCAGTATGTTTACCTGTCTTTTTAGCTTAGAAATCAGCAATGGGCTTTATTGTAAAGCAATCCTTTAAAATGGTGACCTTTGGAGCCAGGCTGGATTGGCATGCTTTACACTAGCACAACCTCAGCACAATTACAAGATAAATAAGGCTCGTAGGATAGACCCTTGTATATTTGAAGGGCATAGTCTGATAAACATACTCTGTTTTCATATTACTTCTCCTGCCATCTTACGAGTTGTATTGCAAAGTGGAGCTAGGCAGGAGGAAGGTGGAGAATTACATCATCTTGAAATATGCTATGGCTGCAAAGCTGACCTTCTGAAAGCTGTAAAATCAAGCTATATTATGCTATATCTTTTCTGGAAGGTAGATACAAAGGAATAGTTCTGAGCTTGCAGAAGTTGCAGTGTTCACTTTGAGAATGGGAGGACAAATGTAAGCCATGTTTTCACTTACATGAGTGTTTTCTCTTATGAAATTCATATGTACTTAATGTAGGGTGCCAGGCTGATCACTACAACTGTTTAAAATAGAAAAGCAGATGGAACAAATAGAAAGATTTACCACACAGCTTGATCTCTCCCCCTGAAGCAGCCATTCATCATCAGCACCGCGGAGACAAACTGCGAAACAAGTTTCCCTTTGTGGCTCTGATTGGGCTTGGAGAGGTGGCAGAGCTGCACGACAGCCTCAGGATTGGCTGGGCGAGAACACACCCAAAAATAAGATACAATCTCTTATATTTTGCCTGGAGATCTTTTATCTTGCATTTAATATCCAAATAAACTAGAGCAAACACAGTTAACCTCTTTGGAACGGCTGTAGTACTTTAGATGAGTGGAATGAATTCAGGTTTTGGGGGTTTCGTTTGTTGGGTTGGTTTTTTTTCTTTCTTATTTTCTCCTGAGTACAATGAGGCCTGTGTGAGTTGTCTAGATCTATTTGTATTTTTCTGAGTGGTTATATATGATATTCAAAAGCTTTCTTGTATTTTAACTAGAGCTGAAAGTTGTTTTCTGACTTTATAAGGTATTGACTTCAGCTTATAATGAAAGCAGTTATTCTTTTAAAGCAGTTTTTATGTCTGTTCTGTAAAATATTTACACTTGCAGTACTGTCTTTCATTGTTTTTGTAAATATCAAGTTGCTATTTCTGATCATGTTTTGGAGATCTATGGCTTTTTAAAATTATTTTAATCAATTTAAATAGATGTGGAATTATCTCGGAAATTTTTTTAAAGTTAGGGACCTAAAATGTTGTGATGCCCTATGTAAAATAGCTCCAGACCATAACTCAGTGAGAGACTTGATCAACTGCAGTGTGTGTTCCAGCTGAGTAAGTATCTGGCATAACTGAATACATCAGAACTCATTAACCTACTTCCTCTCTCTCAAAAAAAAAAAAAAAAATCAAGGTAGAAATTTATATGGAAAATACATATGACTTTTGTTGTGGTTCAGATTGGATGCATACAGAACCAGAACGCTGTGAAAAGCTAGTTTGTGAAGAAGGACCTCGTGGTTGTTATCAAAGAACAAGGATTTGGACAAGCACCAAATACAGGAGTATTGGCTCTAGGGGTTATTGTTTTTGGTAGAAGAGGCAAAGATACCTGGGAGCATGAGAATGGAAATGGGTGAGAGGGAAGATTAAAGGCAAGAGAAGTTGACTACCAGAAAGCTCTTAAATTGGTTTTGCTTCTGTTATATTTAAATAAGGATAAAGGCAGTAGTTAGTAATACTTGAATTGCCAATCAGCTTTTGGGTAAGCACCTATATTTTTCTTATCTACATAGAAAATTAACATGTCAAGATTTTTAAAAGACTAGCCTTGATATGTTATTGGTTTAAAAACTGGTGAGAGTTCTTGTTTTGTTGTCTTAATCGACACTCAACCTCTTAAAATATTTGCTGATACTAAGTTAGTTAGTAAAACTGGAAGCTGGTAGCAGAAAGCTTCAAAAAGTGTGATTGGATAGCAGATGGCATTTCAGGCTGACAACTGCAAGATGTGTGTGTAAGGGAAGGAAACAAATTCTCATTTTACATACTGTGATGGGCTGTGCTCTGTTTACTAGTCAGAAAACAGTGAAATTACAATAGAGCTGTCTGTTCAAATTTTCTAATTTCTAATTCTTGCTAGAGAATTGGACTAGTATTGTGCTATTTCCTACTCATATGAAAGAATAAAGAGTTTTCAATGTCATTGTTGGGTGGTAGGTTGTAAGCAAAATGAGATGGCTTTTTTATTTATTTATTTTTAATAAGGCACAGCTAAATTTTGAAACTTTATTTCTGTAGGCTAGTATGGCTGACAGTAGCTTATACTGGTTTGGACAACTACCCAGAAAGTGGGGCAGGTTTTTGGAAGGGTATTAAATGCACTGCCCATCTCTGGCTCACACTGAGTGGCAGATTGCTGGAGGCAAGCAAGCAGCCCCTCAGCAAGGCAAGTGGGCTGTGAAACTTCCACCTTATGCTGTTTTCTGAGCCTTTGGTTCTGGTTGCTGTTCCTTCTAGCATTAACCAAGGGATGACTGTGCCTTTGTCCCAAACATAGGAGTAGCACTCCCTCAAAAACACAGTGAGCCAAACTGCTGGGAGAAAGTAGAAAGGCCAAGGGTCAGAAGTGTAAATGAGGGGACACTGAGTGAAGCACCTTGCTGAAGGAGTCCCAAGGAGGGTTGTTAGTGGCCACGTGCTTTTTCTCAGTCCTCTGCTTAACATATATGAAATAAGAAGTGGGGAACACAAAGCAAACTCCAGAGTGGCTGGGGTAGCTGTGACTTCAGCAGAACCATTTTCCCCAGTGTTTTAAGCCCTCACGTGGGGAGGGATATAAATAAAAAGAGGAGGAGCAGTGCAACCAAAATCCCAACATGATTTTTCAAGGAATTGCTAGGAGATTTGGCTTTTGTTCCCATCAACCTCAAAAAACTTGGACCAGGTTTCATATTCGGAGGTGAATATATTATTAAGATAATATTTTAAAATTCTTGAATGAATTGATAAAGGGGTTAGTTTTAGTAAATGTATTTCAATAATAGTGGGAGATGGGTATCCAGAGACTGATAGGACAGAGCTTAATGTTGGTGTGCTTGTCGTTTTAGTCAGAGAGGCTATCACCTCACATTTTACTAAACAGTGTAATATCTCTCTTTTTAACAACTACACTTTGTCATTTTTTATTTTCAATTTGTAGAGCAGTCCTGGATTTTTGTCAGATCACCAGTTATTTCCAGTACTTTAAAGATGCCCAAGGCTTAATATCGTAAAAGGAGTCCTTAGATTGCAAATGGCTCAAACCCCAAGACTGTGATTGAAAAAATTAAGCACAGGAAGGACTTTGGAAGCAGAGAGTTATAAATTTTGCAGGTGAGTGTTTCTAGATTATGAATTAAATGCCCATGGGGAAACAAGTATATTCTAGAATGCTTCCACATGTTTTTTTTCCCCCCGAGAGTGTAAAAAAAGAGCACATCAAGCTTGATGCTTATAATCTAAAAAATAAATCAAACATTATAAAAGAAGAAAATATCACACATACAGTCCTCTTCCTGGGAGAAGGGTTAGAGAGGAATGCAAACTACTAGTAGCTAAATTTCATGATCCTTTGCATACTGCTGTAAGGCACTGATGTGCTGGTAATGGCAAAAGAGGATACTACACAAAGCAGAACTGAAAGTCTGTGTGTAAGTGGTTTAGCACCATTGTATGAGTCAGGTCAGTCTGGTATTAACTGTTGGTATGAGATTCATAGTTCCATTTGCTCATGCACCATTCAAATAATAATAAAAAATTCCCAAGAAATTTCACATTTTGGCCATGTGCATTAGTTACAAGGAAACCAGGAATTACTTAGATTTGTTTTACTGTCGTCTAAAATAATTCTTTTAGGTCTTATATTTTAATGTAGATCAGTATGATAAAATGGTAGAATGGTTTGGTTTTGAAGCTGCTGAGTCTGCTCTTGGGAAAGGTCTGTTCCTCAGTATGATCCATTAGGTCATTCTTGGCTCCCACCAACTCACAAAACAGTGAGACTTAAAGAAATAAGTTGTAAGTTTTGTTTATTGCCTTCTGGTTCTCCAGCTTGTAGAATTCATGTACTACAGATTTCTTTTGTTGTTCATTTAAGATTCTTACATTTACAGGCAGTACATATATGACTAAAATGTGTCATGAATTGACAACTTGGGGTACTGGTAGCATCTCAGAACATTTACTTTATTAAATACAGTGGAACTGGCCTAGTGGGTAACACTGCACACAGGCAGTAAATGCTTAACAATGGTTATAGTAGGAATGTGTTTGTGTTGCTTCAAAATGGCCTTCTCCCTAGTCTGCTTTAAAACAAATGTAGGTCTCTCTCTCCATCTCCCTCTCTCTTTCTCTCTCTCTGTGTGTATATATATATATATATGGGGAGTGGGTTGGCTCAGTTGGTTAGAGCATGGTGCTAATAAAGTCAAGATCATCCCCATACAGGGCATTAACTTAAGAGTTGGACTCAGTGATCTTTGTGGGTCCCTTCCAACTCAGAATATTCTATGGGAAAAAAAAAATATATATAGGAACCCTTACTCTTGACTTATCTTTGCATTTGTCTTATTACTTTTTCATTATCTTAATTTTAATCTTGGAAAAACTAGCATGGATGTGTTTCTGAGAATAAAACAAAAGAAATTTCTCTGAAAGCCAAGGACATGAGCCTTTGCTAGTTGTGTTTCTTCTTCTCACCTCAGTTTAGTGAAGGGGAAAAGATGGAGTGATAGAAAAGACGGAAGGCGTCCTTGTTCAGGAAAGCACCAATCTATTGTCTAATGAAACTGAGAAGAAAATTGCAGCAACTGAGATGGTAAAGTAATTCAACAATAAGAACAGCAGATGGGGGAGGGCAAGTACAGATGTTTGGATAGGAAAATGGAAAGTGGATTGGTTAGGTAGCTCAGAGAAGAACTGATTAATTCCTTGTCTTGAGAGGATGCAGTGTTTACAAATAATAAATTTAAGAGGAAGAAAGTTCAAAGTCCTCTTGTGTGTAAGTTTCTTCTTTTAGATCTTCAAGGAAAAGGTGAAGCTTTTTAAAAAAGTTCAGATTTATTTTAGATAATAGAAGCCAAAATTTTATCCTTGAATGATGGAAATGTTTAGCTTCCACCATGCTCACTTGTCCAAACCTTTTATCATGCAGCCCAGGGAACAGGCAAAGCACAAACACTTAATGAATTCTAAAATTTAATTACATGTTTCCTGGAAGAAGTAGGAACATATCTGTTGTGTCAGCAAATTAAAAATCAAGTCTGTAGTGACTTCAAATTTATTGTGCACTTAGTATCAATTTCAAAGCTCAACCAAAGTAACCAGCTTCACCAGCTGGTGCTAATTGTTTCTTACAATGGAGAGTCTTAATCTAGAAATAAAGGTGGAAGCCATAAAACTGTTGGTAATCTCTGGTGTTAGATGTAATTTGTTCAAATTACTGTAACAGAGTAACTGGGGGGAAATGGAGAGGGGGCATTAATTCCTGAATACATTGGCAGTCTGTATGATTCTGTGACTAAACATGCATTAACAGTGCTTGCTTTAGTAGGAGAATATTCAGCGCTGGAACCCTGTCTTGGTGGCTATTAGAATTATATTCCTTTTACTGTGGGGCATTGTGCTCTCTGTGATATCCTCTTA